GTGTTACCTAATATTTTTTTTAAAAAATTTGGGCCGGGTAGGGCTTACATTTATAAATAAGATATTAAATTTTGCTTTAAAAATTGATATATTTTAATATTTTTGCAAGAAACATGACCCTAATATTTTTTGTCTATAGAATATAATTTTACAATCAAAAAAATATGCGAATTTTTATATATTTAAATAAATTCGGGCCAGGCCGGACGAACAAAATTTTTATTCTTGTTTCGAGTCGAGCTTTTGGGACATATAAAAAAATATTTAGTTCGGATTCGAGCTGGGCAGGACAAATTTTTCAAAAAATTTCGAATCGGGCTTGAAAAATTAGGCCCGATGCAGATCACTAATTGAAGGTTCTTTTATGTCAAGTATGACGAATGCGTATTCTGAAACAAAGATATCCAGAGTATTTCTTGCTGTTTGACTTGTTTTACAGCTTCCTTTTATGCCAAACCCTAATTAGTTTAGAGGGAGCAATTTGATTAGGATTTATTTTTAATGTTTGCATATTTTTGAGATAATCCTCATATAACTTCCCCTATAGCTATTAAGCAGATGCCTTGATATACTTCTGTAAGGCAATCAATCTAGCTCTAAAGAATAGTGGAATTAATGGATAGCCCATTAACTATTAGGTTACAAAGATCGGTCAATGCCTGCAATAGGATCAGAGATCAAGAACTGTCTATATTTATAAGATTTCATTGTATAATCTAGAATTTACATAGTAAATATAATTTTAAAACTTACTCATATTTCAGGTCGTAAAACCTCTGAGATAAAAAATAAATAATCTACCTTTTATTTTAATACTATCATATCGGTACCAATTCTCATCAGATAATATTAAGAAATCACAATTGACATAGTAAATTTTAGAAAATCCGCATTACAAAAATTATAAGTTGTGCTCATTTCCAAAATTTTAGAGACATCACATGTCAATTAGCGATATTACAGCTGAGAGCTGATGATATTTTCTCCTATATTTGAAACTTTTACTTTTTTTATTATTCTATATAATTATTTTTCGTTTTAATCCCTCTCTTTTTAGGGTTGCCTTATTTTAAGTGATAAATTGAATCACGCATCCATTGCTTTAGGTTGTCGATTATCTGGAGCGGTTATCAAAACTTTTGAACACAATGGTTACTTATATAAATTTTTACTTTTTTTCTTATAGTAGAAGTAATGACATTAATATACTAGTATATAGACTAACGATTCATTCATTAAAATGTTAAAAGTATACATATAATAGGTATCAACTATATATTATTTTATGGCTTGCACTTTGACTAAATTATTGTCATTTAGTCTACTTGCAGATCCCAAAATAGTGTCTTAAGCTGATTAATATATTTGTACATTTTTAATGAATAAATCGTCAATCTAGGTTAGTATATATATGTCGTATTGAGATATGGAATCATGTGGGATTCGGAATCCCAACGTGGGAATTCGAGATCTTGAATCCCCACGTTTTATTCGGAATCTATGGGGATTCGGAATATATATTTTTTTAAACAATTAAATAATATTTTTTTTCTTCTTTTTTGTCGACTGGCTGGCACCAGAAAATTATGGGTTTCATGAATAAAAGATGCGAGTGTTTTAAGACACAGCGTCTACATGACAGGATTTTCGCTGGATGCAAACCCCCTTCAAAAACCTTTGCCTACCCCCCTAAAATATTTACACCACCTTCGGCGGCGGTGTCTCCCTATTATTATTTCCACCTTTTTAATTTATTTCAGAAAATTTATAAAGGATAACTTAAATTAATCTATCTCTACTACCAACTATCAATATTTTGTGAATATAAAGAATTTATTTTTTAGATAATAAATTCAATTAAAACCTCCATTATTTACAATGAATTAATTATGACATTATGGCTGAAATATCTAAACCTTTTAAATTACATTTAAAAGTAAGCAGAAGGTTTTATTTGGAAAACAATGTGTATGATTGTTTGCAATATATAGATTTGGTCGATGAATTGTATTATAATAATTCTATAATAAAAGTATTAATTTTTACAGCAATAAATTTTGTCCTTATTTCATCTCAAAATTTAATAGATAACCCCCCCTCCCCCAATTTATCCTACCCTCATTAAAGCAGCCTACCCCCTACCCCCCTCACAAAATAGCATGCAAACTGTTCCTACCCCTTACGCTCATGTAGACGCTGTCAAGACAACATCAAATGTTCAGCAAAATGTCATTTGCATTGAATAAGTTGCAATAAATAATTTTTTTTAATTCGGATTTTTTTAAAAATATATATTCATGTGAAAATATTTATAATTTTATATAAATTTACAAAAAAAATGTCTTTTAACCTTATTCCTTTTCATTCATTATATGCCTTAATTTTATACTATTTACTTTTTTAAACATTCTCTTATCCTTTTTGATAATTTATATAATTTATTTATTTTAACAAAATATCTCTAAAAAATAAAATTTTCTGGTGCCAGCCAGGTGGCAAAAGCGAAGAAAATTTTTTTTATTTAATTGTTTATTTAAAAAAAAAATCCTAATAAAACTTGCGGATTCAAGATCTCGAATCCCCGCGTTGGGATTCCGAATCCCACATGATTCCATATCACAATACGACACACATATATATATATTATGATTGGGAGAAAAGTATGGACGAAAACATTATAATCGCCTTTATGGTTTTCAAATTGGATTGTTTAATAAGCATTGTTCTGTCGATAATTCTCACGTGATTATGCTACTTTTGCTAACATTTCATATATCTTCAACTACTGTCAAATGGCCATTTGCGTGATACCCTTCTAGGCATTAAAATATAATTCTACGAAGAATTTATTGGTGAGATGGGGTGTGCTTGAGCTGCGAGTTGACTATCTAATTTGGCGTAATATGAAAATAACTTCGACTTAGTGGATTTAGATAACTTTATTTACGAAATGATGCGTTTCATACATATTTCAAAATATTTATGTTTACTAAATACCCCAATCGGTTAGGGCATGTAGACTTATTGGTATATCTGTACAAATGAGTCTACAAACAAATATCATAGCCAAATGGCCGATAACTGACTATGTGACGTCAGAATAATACTACACTGGTCAGAAAAGAACAACATAGAAATCATTTAATAAAATAAGAGTGGCATAATATCCACTCAATTTTTAGAATATAACCCTATTAGTAAACTTTTTTGTTCAAACGAATATAATATTAAACGCCGATTTTCAATCAAGCAAATATATGGCCTTTTTAAAATCCCCTGCCAACATCTGAAATATTGACAGCTGATGTAAGTAAATCATAATCACAAGGAATTATGAAAAATCTTTTTTGCCATCTAAAACAAAAAATACGTTTAAACGGAGTAATTATAATTGTTTCGTCGATAAATTTTTAACAATCTTTTCATAGCATAGATTCGTTTTCCTTGCGGTTGATTTTAGAAAAATGTTTTAATTTTTAGATTATTATTTCTGTTATAATCATATTCAAAAAAAATTTATTATGTCAAACATTTCCTTACTACAAGTTTAATAAATGTCAATATAAAACCATTTAAGATATGAAGGATTTGGAATCAAAGTTGGGTGAATACATTGTTATGGGGCAACCTAGAAGCCATAGGCCTTGGAAAAAAATCATGATTATGGTTGAAGGTGTTTACAGCATGGAAGGAACCATAGTTAATCTACCCGAGGTGATGAGACTTAAACGAAAATACAAAGCGTATCTCTATTTAGATGAAGCGCATAGTATAGGCGCCTTGGGGCCAAACGGAAGAGGGGTCGCTGATTATTACAACATTGACCCCAAAGAGATTGATATTATGATGGGAACTTTTACAAAAAGTTTTGCCTCCGCTGGGGGTTATATAGCAGGATCAAAAGTTTTTTTTGAAATTCATTTACAATAATTTTTAAATGTCTCGTTTGAAAACACATTTATTTATTTTAATTCGATCTTCTAATATATTGGTTTGATCGTTTTATAGTCATTTAAATTAATTATTATAATAATCCATAGAATGGAGTGCAACAAGACGTAAAAACACTAATACATTTTCCTATTTTTATTATAATTTTGAATTTCGCAGAGTTTAATAAATCATATAAAAGAACATTCTCATTGTGTATCATACGGTGTTGGTATGTCAGCGCCTATTGCTCAACAAATAATAAGTAGCATGGAAGTTATTATGGGGTTGGATGGTACAAAAGATGGTAAATTTATTGAATATTAATATACATAAACTATTTAAATATACACCATAAATAATGAAGGTGTCGCAAGAATAATGAATTTGAAAAATAATTCTAAATATCTGAGGAGAAATTTGATTAACATGGGATTTCATGTTATAGGCGATGATGATTCGCCTGTCGTTCCTGTTTATCTTTATTTTCCCACAAAACTTTCGTAATTATAACGACGAGATAAATTCATATCTAATATTTCTTTTTTAAACAACAATTTCTAGATCATTTTATAGAGAAATGTTGAAGAGAGGAATAGCATGTGTCACTGTTGGTTTTCCCGCAACTCATATTATAGGTGCTAGAGTCAGATTTTGTTTGTCAGCTGGACATACGAAAGAGATGTTAGACAAAGTTTATCTTAACTTTTTTATTGAATTGTAAATGTTTCTATTATATTTTATAAAAACAGTGCTTGAAAGAAATTGACGAAATAGGGGACTTATTTTCAATAAAATATAAATTACAGAGATCCTTTATGCCTATCAACCTTTGGAACAAAAAAAATATATGTGATTAAATTATTTATCAAATTTTTGTTTACAAAAGTATTATACTGAAAACAAGCCAATTAGATTTTTTTACTACATTTAGAGAAAAATTGTTAAAATGCACGAAAAAAATCTCACTCATTTTGTAAACGTAAAAGTTGCTTTGTTACGAGTTTTATTTTTTTACATAAGTTTGAAAAATTTGTAATTTATTTTATATTCTTTTGGAATAATATAAAAAAAATTTGAAATAATAAATTTATTTTGACAAAAAAGGTATCGTTTGAGCAAATTTAGGAAAATATTTTTTGAAAAGGAGATTCAGTTATTTTTTGTAGGCTTTCCAATGTATATCATCAATTTCGTCAGTGATATATCTTTTTCCAACTTTTTGTTCCAATTTTCTCAAATGTTCCCATGTCGTATAATTCTAATGTATATAAAATATAGTGTAAATAATGTACTAAATAATATTCATAAGTAAAGATGTATGGATAAATCATTTTAAAGACCGATCCGATATTATAGATTTGATTTTTAATAAGATTATTGGAAATCTATAGAGAATAAAATCGAAGAAAGTTTCCATAAAATAAAAAAAAGTAAATGGGTAATCCAAATGCCCTTTAATCCTTTATTTTGATATATTAGATGGGCCAATTATAAAATATCAGCCTATTTCCAATATTTAAAAAAAAATTGGTAATTTTTTATGTAACTTGTAACCAAGGGTGCATTAAACATTTGTTGACGGAATATCTTAATCTAATTTTAACTCTTAACAAATTATCGATCAAATCCCTGGCATCGTTACTAATATTTTCCCACGTGTTATGGGGGTACATAAAAGCCGCATTTTGAATCTGATCATTAATATCTTCTTCTTCATTAAAAGGGAAGGTACCACTCAAGCTGTTAGAAAAAATATATAACAATGTACGATAATACAAATTATTTGAATTTTTTAAAACTCTTGGGGGGGGGGGGGATAAATTAAATTTTAAAACGCAATTACCTAACATATATTATGACTCCCACTGACCACATATCTAATGACCGATTATAGCCTTGATTTCTTAACACCTCGGGCGCTAAAAATATATTATACAATATATATTTTTGTTTAAATTAAAAATTAAACCAAGATATGCTGGCGTTCCTACGATAGATCTTCTAAAAGATTTTTCGCCAATAATTCTCGCGAATCCAAAATCACACAATTTAACCTTTATATCAACGTTATTTGTCAATAAAAATGTTAATTTACTTGTGGGAAATCTATGTAAGACGATAATAAAACATTCTCAGGCTTAAGATCGCAGTGAACGATATTCATGTTATGGAGATATCGTAAAGCTATCAAAATCTATTCATTATATTAATAAATAAAATAATTAAATCAATCTGATACAGATTTATAGGCAGATCCGAAATCACTATAGTTTGGTAATTTATCTATTTTGAGCCAAAAGCTATCATAACTTCATTCTCGGGTTTTGCAAACATAGCTCAACTTGAAGCAAGTTTAAATATTAGCCTGCATATCAATGCTTAGTGGAATTTCATTGGCGCTATAAAATGCGCCGATTTAGCAAATTATAACCATTACCCAACTATAGATATCACGCATCTACAGAAAGAAATTTTTTATCTAAATTTATTTGAAATGGAATAAGGCCAAGCAATTTAATATAAAAAAAAATCGGACCGGGGTGGAGAATTTATTTTAAAAAAATTTCTGATCTTTAGCTTTTAATAGACTTGAATATCAAGCTAAAATTTTGATGAATAATATTTGAAAATAAATTACATGCTTAATACTTTTTATCTTATGAACTGTCTCTGTCTATAATATGTAAATATAAATAATATAGTAAATTCAGAAAAAATAAAACAAGTTATTTTTGATATGATCCAATTATAAATACATAATGCAGATATGAAACCGATTTAAGAACCTTAAATGACATTTGGAAAAAACTGGATAAGGAATTAAAAAAGATGACCGGAAAATTCGTACAAAATATTTAAGAGTCGGGGCCAGACTTTTTATAAAATTTTAATGGGCTGGGCCTGATTTTTCATAAAATTTTAACAACTCCGAGAATTTTAAAAATAATATAACAGGCGAACTTTTTTGCATATCACTAAACCATATATTTAAAAAAAATTGCGATCCAAAATTAGCATAATCATTTTTATAAGATATTTTGATATATAACTATTAATAATCAAAACATTTATAGGATTACCTAATGAAATTAAATTAGCCAATTTAAATATAGGCTGGTACCAATATTTCAAAAAATCGGGCTATGATATTTAAAAAATTGGCATCTCTAAATTTTATACTTAATTTTATTTATGCTGTTAAACTTGATAAACAAGAAATCTAGCTACAGTTTCGGACAATAATCCCTTGGGATTGTTTAATATCATTTCTAACATATCACCGGCTAATTTTTCCATCACGACTATAATCTAAGAGAAGAGAGAATAAATAATTGAAATAGAATCATTTAAAATATATTTAATTAAATACCTTTTCTTCTGATTCATACATTCTATCTAGATTTACTACTCCCGGGTTAGAAAGTGTCTATTAATAAATTATTTAGAAAAAAATAATTTTAGCAAAATTTTATAATTTATATACTTGAAGAATTTTGACTTCGTTTTTCAATTGAGATTCTTTTTGACTAGGAAATCGGGATTTCAAAATAACTTTCACTGCTATGGGTCCACCGTTTTTTTTGTTTAAACCTTTTAATAAATAATATTTTAAAGACTCAATTATTATATAATTCGAAACCTCCGTAAACAGTGCCAAATTGACCAGAACCCAACACCTCTTTGGGAAATATAGTATAATTATTTTGGAACTCCTTTTAAATTATGATGTATTTCATTTTATAAAGCTGAATATTAACCTCCATTTCACATAAATATCTAACATGAATATCATTATCTTCAGTTGATACATGATCCCCTTTTTTGTTATTCGTTTTGATCGTGCTACCATTTTCTAAATTATTAGTTTAAAAAATATATTGTAAGAAAATTGTACCCTCTTCAACATTTGGCAGATCTCCTTTATGCAGCCTGTGAAATCGAAGTTTAGGCGTCAAAGCTTGTTTCAAAGATATTTCCCATTGTTTGGCACTATGGTAACCTAGTCCCGTTTCCAGAGGGGCACCATTACCAATTTCCTCAACACCGACGTAATATATTAACCCACTTTCCATGACAATTTCGAAGCAATGAAGGGGCGGATCAAATAACAAATTATTGTTTTTTTCGAAGTTGGTCGATGAAGCGTGGGTTCGCTTAAAATCTCTATTATGAGATGCTGCTTTAGATTCGTTATCTAATACCGATACTATGTCGTCTAATACTATGCGCTTAATAAATTTGATATTATTTTTTTCTATTCAAATAATGATGTTTAAAAAAAATTAAAAACTTATTTGGCATTTTTTATCATTATGCAATTAAAGAATATCCTTATTGCGATTTATAATTCCATGATACTTAATTATTCTAATATTTATACTTATGGGGTAAAAAGTACTCTATAAAAATTTGTATCCATTTCGTTTTTGTAGAAGGTCAAAGAGTTGGTATCTAACACCCAGTAGTGCCTTCTTAAAGTGTTATCCCGATTCGTGTAATGGACCATCCAACCATCTTTGAGAATTAAAGTACCTTGACGTTTTTTGGTATATTTCAATGACACGACCATCCTTTGTAACGGAATATTGCTTAAATAAAATAAAACAAAAAAATTGCTCGATGACTCACTGGTAAATTTAAAATACTTTTTAAATTTGTCAAATATTTCATCGCTTTGAAAACTAGTTATTTTTTGAGCAGGTAAATGTTCTTCAAAAGTATCGTTTTCTTCTTCCAGTTCAGTTTCAACTAATGAATCATTTGCTTCGCTTTGATTTTCATCGGATGTTTTTAAATCTAATATTTTATATGTAAAAATAAAACTATATAAAATTATTTCTACCGAAAAACCCAACTATATGAGCCAAATCGTAAAATTTTTTAAAACATAAACCCGCTTGGACCAAGCCTAAAATTATTCTTTTTTTATATATATATATAAAATGCGGACTGGGACTATTCTTTAAAAAAAAATTAAATTATATTCTTTATTAGTTATAAAATCATATACTATTTCCAGGCAGAAAGTTCAAAGCGGTTTTTGAGGCTTTCCAGCAATTTTTTTTATTTCAAAATTAAGGAAAATAATTTATCGAAACGATTAAATGACGTCTGAGATACCTGATCCAGTATGTACTTCTTTAAATGTTTATATTATACAAAAAAAATTAATTCGATAAATTATTATCCTAATTTGGAAATATGCCTCCAAACTGGCTTTGAAAAAATTTTGTTTGGATATTGCCTTATGGAGCATGTAATTTTACTGCTCAAATACAATTTCCTTTTGAAACATTACAAAATACAGTCCATATTATTCGAAAAAAACAAAATATTAAGCATTTCGGGCCGAGATGGACCATAAAATGAAAATCCAGGCCTGAAAATATTTTTGAAAAAAATATGGGTTTAAGAAGATCTTGATAAATACCTTCAAGAGCTGGAACTGGAGTTAAATTACTGAAGGTGGGCGAATGTGGCTCATCAATTATAGGACTTCCTTGGCAATCTTTTTGAAGGATAGGAGCGCATTTTTTGCAACTATTAAATTTACAATCTAAATTTTTTTAAATAAAAAATCAAATGTACAATAAAATTGAAGCAAAATAATTTTTAAAAAATGTATTACCACGACATTGCAGGCCTTGCCTAAATAACCCCAATAACAATTTCTTGCATTTTTGGCATATGGTAGGAATCTTGTAGGAATGGATCATAAGTGTATGAGGAATCTTTATACGATTTGCTATTTCCCGCTCCATCCAAAAAGGTCTTCCCATATAAGGTATAAACGTGTTTCGTCGTTTACCCAACATACTACTCGTGCCAAATACGTTGGCGGTATTACTATTTTGATTGTTTGATATATCGTGCGTACTGAATAAAAACACCCCGAGCGAGAGGGTATGGAAATTGAAAGGGAGTGAGGATAGATTATGTTGATCTAAGCTATTGTATTTGGATAACGAATTAAGGCTCTAAAAAAATAAGTGTTTTTACAGTATGTGGAAAAAAAATTAATTAGATAAATTTATATAAAGATATTACCGAAAAAAACGTTGATATCTTAATTGAGTTGAGAACAGATTAAAATGGTAATATTTTGGTTTAAGAAGATCAAATAATTATTTAAAAATTTGTCATCTTAGATTTTGTAAAAAAAGTCTAAAAATCAAAAATATATATCCGGAAGATTTTAATTTAAAAAAGACATAAACGTCTAAATTATTTATATAATTTCAATAATTAAATATTATTTAAACTTTTATAAAATAGAATTAATATACTAACCGTGAAAATAAAATATATAATTAAATCAATAAATATAATATCTAATTTTTTACTCATCTTAATATTATGGTAGGAATTTAGCGAATTTAAGACTTTTTATAAACCCGGGTATTTTAGTTATTTTTAAAAACTTAAATCATTTACAGCAAGAGTTTTTTTTAATTATTGAGAGATCTGATTTAAGCGTAATGATATTCCAGGTATCATCGTTATAAATCAAACTATAATTTATTTAAAATAATTGAGCTAATTAAAATGATGAATGGAACTTCTTGAATGAATTATATGGCAAAAGCAAGTTCTCATTTTAATTGTATTTTAGCCAGCACTATGTATGATTTATAAAATCGTGTCATTTAAAATCATTTAATTTAAACTACCAAACCAAAGTATTTAATATAACATAAAAAAAATAACTTTTAATTTGTATGTTTAGAGGAATTAAATAAGAATAAAAACTTGAGCGTAGAAATTTATAAAGATTGTTATATGCAGCTGATATGTATTCAACGACACTATGAAACATCAGTCTATGTAATCATATGTCATTGGCCAAATAACCTTCACTTTTAACGAACCGAATAGTAAGGCAAGAATGCCCTCGTTCAAAAAGTTTTAAAACTGATCTCTTGTTATATACCTAAAAAATGGAGTTATAAGAAGGGGGAAAAATATTTTTAAAAATAAAGACTTTTTAAAATTTTTTAAAATTAATTATTTAAATCTAAATATTTTAATTAGTGTTGTTAAACGGCTCGTTTTTTTAAAACGGCTAACCCAATTTTAGCCAAAAAATATTAGCAAGCTTGTATATTTTGCTCATAGATGGTAGAAAGGTTTCGAGATCTATTAAAAAAAATTCGAGGCTTACGCTATATTTTTTGGCCAAAAGATCGGGAAAGCCATTTTTAAAAATCGAGCCCTTTAATAACACTATATTCTATAGACCTACTAATCAATTATGAATAATTTATCACGTGTCGTGAAAAATAGGAGTTTAATTATATATGATTTAAAATAAATTATCTAAAACTCGTTTTATAAATAATAGCTCAATCATGATGAACTACAAAATAATAAATTATAACTACCTCTCCCATGAGCCTAAATCTTGTAAAAAATAAAAAACGTATAAACGTTATATTAGTCATAAATTGTAAATTCTTAAATAATTAAAATAAAATATTTATGTTAAATTCCTAAGAAAAAATATTATATAATAATGATTCTATATTTTATCAATATATTTTTCTTAGAAATAAAAACACACAACGTTGTTATATATTTTAACCATACTGGATCATTGGTCTATATATGTCAAAATAAAATGATTGGATAAAAATACAAGTTATAGGGAGCCCCGTTTTTCGGTCCGGGTGGTAATAATTTTTATGAAAGAAAAAGAGATAAATTTGCCTAATTATTATCTTTTAAAAACATTTTTAAAACTTTTACCCCTTAACAGCTTGTAAAAATACTTTTAACAATTTACCCGGCTCGGTCTGAAAATCTTTATCCTGGCCCACTGTGTCGATCTAATTCTAGTAAATAAATCCTAATAGTTTTAAATTAAAGGACCATGTATAAGCACCCTGCCATCTGCTAGGGTAAGCGTTTATATATAATATATATATTTTTTAAAAAAATATTTAATTTTGATACAGTTTACATTACGTGTTATATTATAAATATTTTAGATCTTTCTTTTTTATATATTTTTTTTAACTAAATAAAATAATTTTTAAAAATCATTCATATCATAACTCATACTGTTATAATTATAAGTAATTGATTAAGAAATGTCATCAAACTTTTATCAAAATCATAAATTCAAGAAAGTTTTATTTACGTTTGGTGTTTTTCTTGAAAAAAAATAAATACCCCAAAAGTTGTAGTCAAACAAAAATTTTTTTTATAAAATTGTCAAGTCCAGCTCTTATAAAAATTTTAAAAAATCAAGGAAAATGTGTCGAGTTCGACCTGATCGAACAGATTTATGCAGAGCTTTAATAAAAAGAACCTTTTAAAAATTACATTTCAGATTTTAAAAAAATAATTAATAAATTCGGGCAAAATCTGAAAAGCCTTAAATGTTCGGGAGATGAATGAGCTAAAAAAAAATACAAATAATGTGGAAATATTAAATTTCCAATAAAAAAAATATGTATTATAAAATAATAATAGAACCAGGCCTAAATTTTTAATTAATAAATTAAAAGAGTAAAAATAATAATTTTAAAATCGTAATTGTATTTTTGAATAAACATGGAAAGAAACCCATGAAGCATTGCTGTTCCAAAAAAAACAGGGGTAAGAACCAATCCGCGTTTACTGAATCAGAATCCTTTTTTTAACCGAGGATTTGCTGAGGATCTTCCCATTCCCATCCCTATAAAATCTAATTTAATCGAAATAGGCAAGGAAGAACTTATTAAAACAGTTTTATCTTTTAATAAAAACTCAGCAGGAAGAATTGACGGTTTTCGCCCCTCTTATTTCCAATTAATTAGTGAAAATATATTGAACAATGATTTACCTAGTCAAGTTCACCAAATTCTTTTTGGTGCAAGATTAAATGCTCTATCTAAGCCTGATGGTGGATTTTGGCCGATTGCGTCTTTTTTAGGAGACTATTAGCTAAGATAATCGTTGAGCGCAAACCTGATGCTTCAAAAATGTTCCAAAAATATCAACTAGGCTTTGGTACTAAAAGTGGATGAGAAATAGCTGCCCACTCTCTACGTATATATATCGAAGATCCTCCTCCAGACGCCATACTCTGTAAGCTGAATTTTAAAAATGCTTTTAATTCTTTATCCAGAAAAGTTATTTTGAACATTTTTATGAAAATTTCCTGTTTACGCAAGATTCACTGAACAGTCATATGGTTGTAGAACCCCTCTCAAATTCGGGGATTATATAATTCCTTCTGATGAGGGTATACAACAAGGAGACCCTTTGAGCCCTCTCATATTTAGCTTAGGCATACATAACTTAATTCATTCTCTATAAAGGATTTTTAACTTAGACTTAAACATATTTGGATGATAGCACCATCTGCGGACCTTCTAAAAATATTTTAGCAGCGAGAGATTATATAGAGCAGAATTCTCTAAACATAGGTCTTAATCTAAATAAAGCTAAATCGAAATATGTTTTTTAAATTTAAATGCCCTCGAAGTCCAGAGGTTTAAAATCATTAAAGAAAGTGAAATTAATCTTCTTGGTTCACCTTTAAGCAGTTTCCAACTGTGATGTGTTGGTGGAAAAATTTTTCGAAGGCTTATTAGGACTTGAAAATATTTTAAAAGAAATATCTTCACACCAAAGCTTTTTTCTTTTAAAGAAATATTTATTTTTACCAAAGATTTTACATATTTTTAAATGTTCTTCCTTTTTTTAAATAATGAAATTATTCATCGTGTTCATGAATTGTTTAAAAGCACATTAGAAATTATTTTAAATATTAAATTGGAAGATTTTAATTGGGCTTTCTCACAATTGCCCTCGAAAATGGGTGGTTTAGATTTATATCCATTAAATCTTATATCTCTTTCTTCATCTTTGGCATGGCGTTTGATGAACAACGCCATGATATCTTTTTTTATAACTCCTAAAGGTAACCTTTTAAATTCGGCCTTGACAGCTTGGGTATCTTTAGCTCCACCTGAAGCTGTTTTACCCACAATCTTAACATATCGATCAATTTTCGAACCTTTAATTAAAAATCTTTTTAAAATACTCTCATCAAACCTCATTTAGAGTATATTCAACTATTACAAAATGCTAACTGTACTAGTGGTTATGAATGGTTGGAAGCATTACCAAGTCGTACCTAGGTAACCTCTTATCAGATGAACAATTAGAGTTGCCATAGGCCATCTAACATAGTTCAACCACATATGTATATGTATCAAATGTAAAATATTAGTTGACTCCAAAGGGAGACATTGTCTTAATTGTATATATAGTCAAGGCAGACATGCAGCAATTAATTCATCTATTAGCCGTTCTCTTACCAGGGCCCGAATACCAAATATCCCTAATTTATCATTAGGTGGCCTAAGACAGATGGCTTAGCTTCTGTGCCTTGGTTTTTAGGGAAATCCTTAATTTGGGACTTCACATGCGTATCTTCATTTCCAAAAAATTTAAATTTTAACCCGGTTGATATAGCCGAGAAAAAAAACAATTAAATATTTCAAATTAACAAATTATATTTTTTTTACCAATCGTTATCTCTTCCCTTGGACAAATGTAAAGTGGAACTTAAAATTTTTAAAAATATAGGCGGCAAAATAAGAGCCCTTACATCAGAACCTAAAGAATATTATTTTTTTAAAACAAAATATACAAATTATTATTTTATGGGGAACTTGTAGTCCCACCTCCGTTTTTATAGAATGAGTTTATATTTTTTTAAATTATAAAGTATTGGAAAAAAAAACTTTATTTATTAAAATATATTTATTTTATTTTAAAAAAACCAACAAGATAAAATTTTATAAAAAAAGAAAAACAAACGATTTAAATTTTACAATGTAAAAAATATATTTATTTTATGCAAATGTATAAATAAGGTTTTATAAAATATAAAAAAAATATGTAAAATTAAATAGTTTGTATTTATAATATTAATTATATTTTATTTGAGATTTAAATCCTTATTTAAATACATGGAGTTATA